GAGTATGTTCGCTTCATTCTCAGGAGCATTCCATGATTATAAATAGAGGGACACGCCGATACATCCATCAGTGATACAAAGCTATTGGTTCTAAAATGTGACAGAAATAATTTATACGATTAGACGAGTTCGACTTGAAAAGTGCCTCCCGGTTTCAACAAATTAGCCGTATTACAGCATCTCACTAGCGGCAGGTGAGTAAAAAATATATTCCTAGGTTAACTAGGTGTGCTTTTCCAGAGCGTCCCTCCATAAGTCACATCCTCTGGAGTCCTCTGACGAAGGTCATAGAGTGCTTTTTGAATTATCTGTGAGGCTTAACAATACAAATTAGTCCACCGTGTCACGGAGTGACCAACACTGGTAGATCCACTTTTTCTGCCGCTGTTTTGATCGGTATATAAACAGTACTGACTGACTGGCAACTGTTTACGCACTATGTGTACGAGCACCCGTAGCTTAAAGAGACAACATGAACCAATTAGAAACCAGACTTAAGGTCATGGTTAAGTGGTATATGAGAAGTTAACGGCTGGTTGGTAAGTTGAACAAATGTAACCCTTCGTACATGCAAGTCATCGATCAAAAGTCTGTCTCTACGACTAAGGTGAATGAGGAGGTTTGAGGGAGCAGGTGCGCAAAATGCACAAAAGTAGAGACTTCTGAACAAAATGTTGACCTGAAGCGCCGTACAGTGTTGAAATATCTCAGTCAGATACCAATCGCTGAACTCGTAACTATGGCCTGTGAGGGTTTTTTAATCAATAGAGCTTGTAATCAGCAAGTACAATGGTTACTATCCTGACTGAGCATGCACTATACCTCCGCTGAAGAATATGGTAAACAGTTCAAAATCAGAGTGGTGAAACTGGACAACTCGGAAACTGATAGTTGTTGCGATTTTTTCAACAAACCCCGCGGGCTAGCAACTTGGATAGTGCTGCCGGAATACAGCAAAGCCGATTGCTACTCACGAAGAGTAATTACCTCGAGAAGCCCCCATTAGTTTCTAAAACCTTCCAGCACACACCTTGGTCACCGCAACTTTGAAGTTACTAACTTAGTTGCATTCTGCATCTAAGAGATACAAATGCTGTGATTTGAAGGTACATTTTCGAATTTTGGTGGAGAGCACTAAGTTGAAAAATTTGGGTATATAAAAAAATGATAACTGCTAAATCAGGTTAAGTGGTCTCGGGATTCATCAGATTTGCACTTACATCACCATTGATACCCCTGGTGAGACCACACCGAAAACCAAAGAGCAAGTTTTACTCACTTGGAGGATAGTTGAGATCGACTAAGTGGGCTTCGTTTCCTAGGGGTTTGGTAAACAATGGTTAGATTTACTGATGGACCACACATCACGTTTTACTCAAAGGCTTTATCAGGCCGTGTGAATAAGTTACCAGGCTGATCAAGCTTCAGGGTAGTATGGGTGTTCCTGTTTGTTGGTTAGTGTGAATGATCAACCCCTACGATAGATTGGTTAGGCAGTTCGGTCGTTGGCTTGTTCGCTGAGCTGGGCAACGTTCCATCAGAAGCGTTGTTGAGAAGCGTAGTGGTGTGTAGCGGTGGGTTAGTGGTTGTGCTTCGTTACTACTAATCTAAGCACTACTGCGCTCCACAGTAACGCCCTGATGATGTCACCTCGATTGGTGATGGAACGTTTACATTCAAACTGCCCAGCTAAGCGAAGAATCCAACGACCAAACTGCCCTATCCAATCTATCGTAGGGGTCAGTCATCCACACTAATCAACAGACAGGAACATCAGTCTGATACCCAGCACTGATTAAATCGAATAGTCATAAGAAATCTCATGTATATGTTCCCTGACTGACCTAAAATTTGATCAACCTGGTAACTTATTCACATGACTTGATGAAGCCTTTGAGTGAAAAGCGATGCGTTGCTCATCAGTACATCTAACCATTGTTTATCGAAACCCTATGAAACGGGTTTCACTCTTATTCGAGTCCATGAATAAGCGTGAACGCCTTCAGCAATTCAGAACGATAGTTCAGATGGACCCAGTGTAGGTGAGTTCGTAGTGGTAACACACAGGCTAGCCCAAGTGTGTGGATCACGAGTGTGTACTCATATGGCCAAATCTGTGTCCAGGACTTCAGCTCTTTGAGAAAAACTAACTGAAACAACTGAGTCGATATGGAACTAAGACTGTTAAAGCAATAGTAGTGTAAATGTATATGTTATTACGCGGCAAATGTGACCCATTTTAATTGGCGGATAATATACTGAAGCTCAAATCATGGGTGTGGATTTCTGTCTTAGAAATAATGTGGTACTTAACATCTCACAACTTTCAAAAGTAAGGTAGACCAACTGGGTTGAAAATATTATCAAGGAATCCACTTTAAAAGACTTATTACTCATCTTATTTGATTCCAATTGAAGCTCGGATTGTTTAGTCGATGAACGCTAAAATTTGACAACTAGTCATCAGGTGAAAGACGATCAGCATACTGGCTAGTCCTTACGATTAATTTCTACTAGACAACTGCCGCCTTGTCTTTACGGTACTCAATGGCGCTCAGGTCATTGTCATGACAACAACGGGCTACCGACACTTCAAGATGAAGTTCTGAAGTCTGTAGAACCTGAGCTCCTTGGTTGGAGCAGGATATGAATTGGTCATTGGACGGTATGTTGTAGAACCTGAGACACGTCGACCAGTTTAATTAATGCACAAAAGGTCAGCTATTCCTGGTAAGCAGACAGATTGGTGCTTCTCTGAAACACACCTGTGCACTAAAGTCCACTTTGCATACGCACGTTGGTGGATGGTGGAGCTCACAAGCACACGCGCACACACATCCGTGGTCACATGGACGTCGATGCGAGCGTGCAAGCGACTAGGTGCATAAGACAGCACTTCTGACAAACAAGCACACTGCCCGACTCATTTTGACCAACACCAATGAAGTCAAGCTACTGACCATACAACCGAAGACCGAGAGCGAGCCAAATAAAAAAGCCCGTTTCTTGAGTAAGTTTTCACCTGCCGTGTCTGGTCAAGCAGCTGGCATCGATTCTTCGGGAAGTTAAGCTATCGATCGGCTACAACTCATGATGCCCGATCAGAAGGCGATAGTCAAGAATGCTGATATGGATGAGGATATGCAACAAGAGGCAGTAAATTTGTGTAATCTTGCTATGGAGAAATTCAAAATGGAAAAGGACATTGCTGCGTTTATGAAGAAGGAATTCGATAAAAAGTACAAACCTACTTGGCATTGTATCGTGGGAAAATGCTTTGGCAGGTGAGTAGCTGGACTTTTGCGTATAAGGTGTACAAAATAAGGAATAATCAAACCTATTCAACTAGTTTAAATTTTCTATTTCTTTCGGGAAATTCTGAAACGTCTATGTGGTATAATGGGGCATCGTACCCACTGCTACCGGCTGATACCGTCGGTGGCAATAAGTAGGAATAATAGAGTGAAATATAGTCAACCGTTATAGCGGGGTTGAATTTCACACCACATTGCCATTTTGAAACTATTTAATCTCAGTGAAGTCAAGCTGATGAATCATCTCCAACCTAGTTTGTGCGCCAAAGACGCCTTGACGCAAGCTGTGAGCTTGTATATAACTAACTGGCCCACAACGCGAACGGCCCCACTGCACTGTCCTATGCTTATTAACACTGTCCCTACTAGTCTTTACTCGCGAATGAGTAGCCAACGAATACGAAGTATTTTGATCTTCAAAACATATGTCCGTAGCGGGATATCGGTCGGAGAAAACACGTAGAAAACACGAATCAGATCCCATAGAAAATACACGAAAAATGCTCAGGCTAATGTTACAGAGCGCCAAAGGATGACAGAAACGTTTACACCACAGCTTCACAAGACAAAAAAGTTATAGTTTTTACGATTTCCTGAAAACTCTGGTCAATAATCTAGCGACCATCCGCTTTCGATCTAAAAAAACAACAGGGAAACCGTTTTCTGTCATCTGGTAACGTTGTAATTCCTTTTGGAATAGAGTGAAGTGCAGCCAAGTAGTCTAGCCTGCTGATTTCCTTACCAGTGCCTTCCTTGTGAACAAAAAATCGATATTTACAACCAGTTTTTCTTGCCCTATATCTTTGAGTGTGTCTCAGTATACTAGACAACATTCTGGAAAGAAACGTTATGCGTCTTCCCAGTTTATTGTTCCATCTTTGTGACATCGATATTTTGAGGAAAATCGCAACCATGCTCATATATGGCGTTCTTTTTGGAGTGATCATCTCTGCAGCCGAATAAGGTAGTGGTTGGGAGTTTGGGGGTGTTTGGAGGTGATTAGGATTGTAACATTCTTCAAAGGATGAATTATATTTAAATTGGGGTCTTTTTCCTATAAGCACCGCCAAAAAATTAACCTCCACCACCCAAAAATGATTGAAAAAAGAGGATATGAAATCTGTACCTTTGGTTTTTATTGAAGAGGGTGAAATTGGGACATGTCATTAATAAGTTGCACGAAAACGTCCGTTTTTCGGTACCTCCGCCCTCAGACAAACTCACACAAGTAGCCGTCCACTAAAGATCGGTGTGCGCCGCGTTGGCGTTTATCCTGCATCTTGTAGACGTGCCAAAGAGATTCCAAGGCCTGTCTGTGAGCTCCTGTCGATGGATCCATAAAATCTCCGGTATGATCAACCGATTCATGAGTATGATTTATGTCAATCATCGTTTCAATTTCCTAGTATGATGCCTACATATCGGAGACGATGATTGAGCCGGGAGCGACGCAGGCCTGATTGTGTCCATTAAAATGACCGCAGTTCGATCTGGCACTTCATACATGAACACCTCTTTAGTTTCCCGCAGATCTATCCAAAAATCCACTGCTAGGGAAGGACTCACAGCGAGGTATTAGTGTTTAATCGATCTCAACGTGTAGACCTGGGCTGCCGATAACTGTTGGAGTCTGCAAAAGCCGCCAGGCTCAAAGTTCGCCAAGAAAGTTCTTCCAGTCAACAGCAATCGTGTGGCTACTAGATAATTCCTCTTAGCACAATATGATTTTGCCAAATTTTTGGACCAGCAATAAATGAATAGAAGTACTGTCCTAAACTCCATCTTAAGCCGTTCTAGCCAAGTTCCTTTTCGAAGGCCGATTTCTTGCCGACACTGTCGGGCATTACACCCCCACCTGGCCATTGTTGCATAAACGCTTCTGATGGATTACTCCTTGGCTTTTCAAAAACATATTGCAGTCTCCTTGACATGAACGACAGTTGAAAGCGTGCGAAAGTTCATTTCAGGTTTCATGTCCGAATAAAGAAACATTGTGCACAAAATGAGCCTAGATGCGGATAAGGAATTGTTTTGATCAAAATAAGTCAAGGTTGTGTGCGTACATTAAATTAGAGCTCGCAAAAATTAGCGGGGCTTAACTTTTCGGACATGCAGTTTTTTAATTGGTGGCTGGGTTTATCTGGAAAAGATCCTTACCTCGTTTCGAGAGTTGATTCCTCGCACGGGTCATCCTTCCTGAACGACCCTGTTATATAATTGCGTATTCGTAATGAACATAGCCCCAAGCATGGAAATGCGAGCGGGAGAATTGAAAGTGCATGGAAAAACGTCAAGAAATGAAGGAAAATTCTCATTTGAAACGCTTACCGTCAGTAGTTTCTGGTCAGGGAAAAGATCTCCAACGTATATAGGAATGTTTGGTGTGAAAATACACGAGTAAAGACCAGCATACGGAAAAAGGACATACGATATTCGGTGCTTTGTAAGGCGCACTTATTGCTAGTGCCAGACACAAGGTGTCTGTCATTCAGACCCTGTATGAAAGTAAATGGCAAGAATGAAGATTCAAAAACATATGAGGCATAGCGTCGTACTTAATACGTGGCACAGAATGATAACCCAACACTGAAGCCAGTCAGTGAAACCACAGTTCAACAATAACCTTAACAGATTAGGGAAGTGATTATCGATTTTCGAATGAAAAACTTGACTGGAAAATCAATGGTAATTAAGGTTGAGATGATAGCGAGCGAAACCTCGCTAGCACCATACGTTCGCTCATTCTCATTCCACACACGAATTCCCCGTTCATCATAGACTATGTTTACTTCCATCGCGGTTGCGCAGCGCTACCGTAAATCGATTAGGTCAGGCCTAATGAAAGACGCCGAAGTATTTGCTATCAACTCAGTGAAGATACCGTATCTTGGACCTTGGGATGACGATTCGCAACCCGATTATCACGCATCAAACTACCAACCTTGAATAACACCAGTTTCCACTACAGAAGATCGTCTGACTACCATAATCAAGCTTGGTTGCACTGGAGCTTTGTACGGCGGTTAAATACCCGGGAAAACACGCGTTCTAGAAACTCTGAGAGAGACTAATCAGACACCTCTCGCAAACAGCGACTAAAAACCCAGAACTGCCGGCTACCGCCCAGATTGCTACTATTTCTTCCTCGATTTTCAGGCATGCTCGTTGGGCTCGACTTTGAAAACCTGAGATCCTGAAAAACCTTGCCGATTAATTGTGTAGCACTCGGCACTAGGTAGACAGGAGCTTTTCCGTACACGATCTGTCCTGCATTGGTTTGGGTAAAGTCAGACTTGGGGGTACCAAGTCCCCCGTATTTTTCACCCGTGTGGATGTAGCTGATCGAGTTGTCCTTCGGTAGACGCAACCAGCCACGAATAGATGCAATTATTCAAACCTTTGAGCGTGTTTTGGTGGACATGGCAGAACATGAGCCAATAAGTCAGCCTCGGTGTCAGGTATTCCCTTGTGACCTCTATTCTTTAATTCGGTTTCAACAAGGCATGCTTTACTTTAGTAAGCAGTTTGAGCAACTAATGTTGGCGGTTGTGGAGTCCTTTCACCTTGAAAGTAAATGGGAGATCAATACATCTCGCAGCATTTGTCAGACCTAAGACATAAGTGAGGAGTTCCTCGTCGAAGCAAAGAAGTCTGACCGAGACCGCGGTGGTCCGAGGTTTTCTATTCCCTAAAAGTACAATTGTTTTCGGATGCTGATCTTCAAGCAGTAGATCACCAAGTCGACCTCAGCTTCTCTTTGATATGAGCCACACAGTGCTTAGCGGATGTGAGACCATCTGAGACCATGAGGCCGAAAAATCCGTTGCGGCGCTGGGAATCCATGACTAGCCATGATTAACAAGATTGTCACCTCACTTCCCTGAAGCGATGAGGCTCTGAATTGGGGAAGACTGATTCGGCATAACCATAAGACTGTGCGATATACTGAACCATCGGTAATGATGTTGCAAACGCCCCAGCATAACTGACGATTTTGTCATGTGAAACCGAATAGAACGCTTTCCGGCAGCCAACAACCGCCAACTTGAGGTTACAACCGGTCGTTGATGGATGAAGTAACACAGCGCGTAACAATGATATAGCTTGCAAACAACTGCCTGGATGTAGGTTTGCAAAGCACAGCAAGGGAAGTTCCAGTCCTTGACATCAAAGGCCTGCAAGCACTTTATGAAAGCACCGAAAACCTGATGTCAGGCAGATCGGTCACAGTCGGCCTGGTGAATTCCAGTTTGGGACCTTTGAACAAGTGTAACAAGGGCACGAAAAGAATGCGGTTTGAAACCAACAGATAATGACAGTAAGTCACAATACCCAGCAATGGAGTTGACGTCATACCTGCGAAGTATGTCTGGATTCAGCGTGTGCCGACCTGGTGCGATCAGATCCCACTCGTATGACAGCAGTGCACAACTTTGTAGAGGATACTTGTTTATATAGATAGGCCGCAGTTTCCGTCGCTAATTTCTATCCGTAACCAAACATGCACAGCCCGGGAAACAACTTCTAACATAATGAATGTCTACTTCGAAACTGAGTGCATTTCAAACAAGTGTCTCACATTGCTAAACCGGATCCATGTCCAGAAAAAGTAACTTAAATTGTAGTTAAAGACCTATTTGTAAAGCAAAATCAGCCCATCGTTTATGGTAGTTTTTCATTCTATCTGCCGACCAGGGGGCACGATTCCAAGGTAATTTCCTCTAATAGGATTTACGTGTAAGTTTGAGGAAAATTTCTCTGCACCTAGTGGTAAATCGGCTTTCTTGAATTACCGGTTTTGGGAGAGAAACGTCATCAAATAGGGAACTTCTGATCGATAACTCCTAAAGATCTCTTCAAAGGAGGTCAATTGTACAGCGCGGAATTTAAGCGAAAACGCATACTGGCACCTAATTGCCTTGCATCCATCCGGAAAAGATTCCTAGCAAAAAAGCCCTGTTTTTCATGGA